AACAATTATAATACAAATAAAATGAAATGCAGCAAAAGAGACCCTTGTAGTAAAATATACAAAAAAAATATAAATAAAAAAAAAAAAAAAACAATAGATCAGATTAGATTGAGAGAGCTTAATCTCAACAGTTAATTTTGCCCCAATAGATATACAAAAATATATATGTACATATATATATATTTACATATATGTAAACGATTTTTGAAAGATTTTTAACTATGGTTGTTCTGATAGTTTGCATTATTTGCTTTTGCTTTTTGGATCTTGCAGAGATCTTAGGACGACCCTTAACTCTGCTTTATTTCATTTCTATTTATTTATTCAGTTATTCAAACACATTGAAGAATGGAATTGAGACATTACAAGCTACGAACATTTTTTAAAACATTTTGATCAGTATGAAAAAGATCTTTTTAAAGCATAATAACAAGTTAAGGGAAGAGAAAACAAGATACATATAAATAAATAATAATAAATGAGGAAAAAATATAATTATAGCTTAACCGAATGTGCCCTTTAAATAGCTCTCTTTCTAGACTTATTAAAAGACAAASAAAAACAAAAAGAAATGAAATCGATAATGAAATATGAAAATAAATTAAAAGCAAATAAGTAATACATCTGTATGTTTGTGTATGTATGTATATGCATTGAATTAATATCTTGACTCTAGTAATACAATTTCGAACTGTTAAACGGAAAACCAAATACGATCAAGTAATTGAGTAGCTAACAATTCAACAATGAGAACTAGTCGAAGTCGTCATTGAAGAAGAAAGTGAACTTTACACTGAGAACAACTGAACGCTGGTTTCCAAATTTATTTGTTATAATAACGTACTTAAAAATCCATTGTGAATTCGATACGGCATTGAGTTTGAATGCGCTGTTAAGACTCTCAAAACACATACTTAGACATATGCATGTATACATGTACAACTATCTGCCAGCCAGGGCAGCCGGGAACTGGCTCTGAGGCTGGCCTAAAACAAATTCAAAAAACACTCTCGACACACTTTCCGCCCAAACGAAAAAGAATGAATGAAATTTCTGCAAAGGCTCTCAGCTCCACCCTAAAGACTAGAAAATTGATAAGCTCGTGCTGCTGGCACCTCATCATCAGCGGCAAGAGCAACAACGTGAATTCCTAAACTCAATTTCAACAAATGCTAGAACAATCAAGCCACACACATCTCTTGCGCAAACCAATGAACAGCAGGCAGTGGGGTAACGCCACAGATGTAGATTTCTCTCTAGGCAGAAAAGCACATGCAAACAGCAAACAGCAAGCAGCAAACAGCAAGCAGCAAGCAGCAGGCAACAAACAACCAACAACACAAACAACTTATATGATTACTCGTACTCTCTCTATACATACTTGCGAGTGAAATCGTTAACATATCATCTTACGTAGCGGCAGTTGCTGCGGTTCAGCAACTACTTATATCTATTGTAACTAAACGAAACAACTACAAGTACACTTATGCTAAAGCAATGTAAGCAAGCAAAAATAATTCTAAAAACAACAAACAACAAAAACATACAGCAAAAGGCAAGATATAGGCTTTTAAGTAGCTAATTACAAGAACAAGCGGCGCGCTTAAAAATTTGAAAACGCAAAACAATTTGTTTATTCAAAATGGTTATTTTCTCTCAATTGTATAAGCATACATTCATTATTTAAAATATATTAA